AAAAAGAAAACTCAAATTCTGAAGAAATTGAGAGGCTACCATATGGCTGCAGGAAGGTCTGTGGGTTGTACACCAAATGAGAAATAGCTCTTTTCCATCATTCAGTTAGACATTGTCATGGTTATAGGCCAGGCTTGGAACAACACTTTGAGTAGACTTAAAAAAATCTAAGAAGGGATATACTGATTCAAATAAAATGAGAGCCAATCCAAACTATGAACCAAAACATTTTGAAAGTTTGGATTGGTTCTGTAAAATATTCCTCCCTACTGGGTCCAAAATCTGGTTTGTGTCTAATGTACCCCGGGGTTTTGATGATAGCCCTCAAAATCCAGTCTGAGGCTTAGCAGGTCTGGCAGTTGCTTATTGGGTAGATTGCTGTCTTCAGATCTGTCTAATCTAGCCAACTGTTCATTTTCTGTATCTGCTTATTGTGGATTTCTGAAAAGGGAGGGGAAGAGGAAGAGATAAGATGGAATCGAGGAGAGGAAGAAGGAACAAATTAGATTAGAAAGTTCTCTAATATAATCTTACTTGCTCTGAAGGTGTGCTGAGGGTTTTAGGAATTCACAGTATTTTGGTAATATTTTTGATAATGATTTCTATGTAAATATTGGGGATATAAAAATACTTTTTATAAAAAAATATAAAAATATTTTTAAAAATGAAAAATGGATCAGTTTCAAATACTTTGAAACTAAAACAACATCAGAAATTTTTTCATGAAAATAGGTTTTCACTTTTTAAACATCTCTAACTAGGATAATTTCCCACTCATTACCGCAAAAAAGGGAATGCAATTAACAGGGTAGCCTTGCACACAAGCAAGATTAGTGAATAGAACCCAAGAGTCTAAGCAACTCTCAGACTGATTCCCACTACAATCGCCACCGCTCACTCACTTCTGGAAGCAGAATCTGGGTGGGTTGCAGCTCATGTCCTATATTCCAAGCTCTCCAAATACATAAGAGTTTGAAGTTCTAGCAGTCATAAAGTTGGCCATTGTGGGTCACCCAATACCTATTTATTTTATTATTTCCTTTTCAAACCTTAGGCCCTTTATATTTTGCTGGGACCTGTCTTTCCATAGTAACTCAATCTCTGTGGTAACACCACGGTAGGAGCCACAGAGAACTGGACTGCCTAACTGCTTATCTCTCTTCTGTTCTCTAACTCCCCCTACTTCTGTTAGGAGTGGGGTCAGATAGATCATATAAATGTCTGAGGCTACCAAGGTAAGGAATTATGAAGAAAAAGAATGGCCAAGTGTGGGGGTGACTTGAAAATGTGATGGCTATGTGAACTTTAAGAGGGAGAAGAGACTAACTATATTAAGAGAGGAAGAAGAGAGATACAGAAAGGATGGTGAGCTAGGGAAGAGGACAGAAAGGAGGAGAATTGCCATGTCTCTCACTAGCTGTGGTAATGGTAATTAAAAAAAATCGGTGTCTGATAACAGCAGTCTGGAACTGATGGTTATTTAACATAGACACTATGTGACATATCCTGTGTAGATAGCAGTTCCCTGATGCGGTAAGGGAAGTGCAGAACCATCATTTCAGGTTGAAATTCTGTATTTCTGGTCCACTTATCTGCTGGAATTGAGCAGCCCTGACCTAAAGTGGGGAATACTGCCAACTACAATATACTCTGTAATTGTGTAGCACCATCACACTGCTGACATTTTAACACGTCTCTAATGTATATTAAGTATAGAAAAATAAATAGCAAAGAAAGTAAAACGTGATTCAGAGGAATAGAAGGAACCCAATAATGCTTGATTTTGTTTTTCTAAAAATATGGACAAAACAGGTTAAAAATTTCACTGAAAGAAGAAAAAATATTTTTGTGTAAATCATGGCAGAGTTTTCCTTTTTGTAAATCTTCTAAACTCTTCCCTCTCTGACAGAATGAGACAGTTCAGTGTTAGTTGACACCTCAGCTAGTGCCAACCTGTCAATCAGCTAATCTCCAGGCGATTGTGCCATGAATATATGAATATCTAACAAGAAGCTGATGTAACTGTTGTTCTGACGTTCCCGCGCAAACTTTAATAGGGCTTTGTATGATCTGTTGCTATTTTCATGGCAGACTTTGACATATTTGAAGAAATTTGGTTTAGGAATGATAAGTTACTCAGTATATCCAGGGCTGTCCGTAGCGGGGCATGGGGCCCAGGACAAATCAGCCTCTCTTCGCTGGCATGCCTGGCCGCCACTTGCCCTCTACACCCCCCCGACCTATCCACCGCTCTCCTCCTCGCCATCCGCCCACCTGCTGCTTGCCTCCTCACCAAGCTGCCTGCTGCTCGCCTCCTTGCCATCTGTCCAATGTGCCACCCGACCACTGCTCTCCTCCTCACTATCCACCCGTCCGCCTGCCTCTGCACCCCCTTCCCGCCTCCTCACCCTCACCTCCTCACCTACCTGCCCGCCGCTTGCCTCCTCACCCCGCTTACCTGCCTGCCTCCCACCTAACCTCCCCACCCACCTCCTCACCTGAATATTGGGACAAATCGCGTCCCAATCATACATCGGTCAGGATGCTGGACAAAGGGCTAAATATCAGGACAGTCCCAATTTTATCGAAAGGCGGGGCCCCCAAAGCACGGGGCCTGAGGCGGTCGCCCCGAGTCGCCCTACCCAAGGGAGGGCTCTGAGTATATCTGAACAAAAATAGCATAAAAACAGCTATGGAAAAAATGGAAACCCTGGATTTACCAAATATTATAACCGTTCTCTAACTTTTCGACTTTCCTTTGTATGTAGGATCTAATTGTATGTAATTGTCGCTATATTTATGTGCCAATTTAGTATATCAAATACTTTAAAAATGAAGGTAGAGGTATTTGAAAATTAGAAACTGTACATGCACAATATGCTATTTTGTATTTATTTTCCATATTAGTAGCACAGGACTGGGAGCCTGGATATTAGGTTCTATTCCCAGTTCTACCACTGACCTGCTGTTTGACCTTGTGCAAGCCACTTTACTTCTCTGTACCTCTATTTTTTTTCTCCCATCCTTCGTTTGTTTTGTGTATTTAGATTATAAGATCTTTGGGGCAGAGACTGATTCTTACTATGTGTTTTTACCATGCCTAGCACAATGGGGCCCCAATTTTGGTTGGGATCTCTGAGTACCAGCCTAATTAGTTAATTATTAATAATAATGTATATGTACCAAATTATAGAGCTCCGTATATTAACCAGTAGAGAATAGGCTGATATTCAGATGATACTGAAATTCAGATGTCCTAATATCTATGTGACATTTGGACATTTGGAATATGAGTATAGGGCCAGATCCTGGGGTCTTGGCTTTGTGTTCTCAGTACAGCTTATGTGTATGTGTGGGTGTGGCACAAAAGTGGGGGTAAGATCCCAGGCTTTAAGCTGCTGGTGGCAGTCTGGTACCCCAGCGTAAAGGATAGTGGCTTTCAACTGCTGTATGTTATGCCTACTGCCTGGGGGTCCAAGGGGTTTTTCAGCAGCTGGGGTTCACCAGCATGTAGGAACACATATGTTTTGCTGACTACCTGTGGGCCTAAGTGGCTGTTTTAGCAGCTGGGGTTTGCCAGCAGGTAGGCACCCCCTAGTCTTCTCTTTGCCAGAGTTTGAGAGTGTGGGTTGGCAGGGAAGCCACTACAGTCATGCTATACCACTCAAAGAGTTCCTCATGCTGGGAAATCCTCCAAGGGCCTCTTAGGCCAGGTTTGAGGCTGGTTTAGATCATTGGAGCAGAGCAAAACAGTCTTAGCAGCGCCAAGGCTCTGGCTAAAAATCTGAATATCAGCATTACCTTTCTCATAGGAATTCTTCCCTGGAGTACCTGGGCTCTCCTCCTACAATCCTGTGGTTTTTGTGTGGTTTCCATGTACCTGGAACCATCCTCTACTCCTTCTCTTTCCCCTTTGCCCACAGATGCTATAGGGCTACTAACTAGTCTTCTACTGCTGAGATTTTTTGGGGTGCAAAGAGTATCTTCTAGAGAGTAAGTGACCTGCCTGACAGGGCCAGCTCTAGGTTTTTTGCCGCCCCAAGCAAAAAATTTGCCACCCCAAGCTCAGGTGGGGCTGCGGCTCACAGGCGGCGCTGGAAGCGGAGGGAGTGATGTCACCTTCTCCCAGTGCCTGCAGGGGCTTTACCCCCTCCCCCACCCGGCTGCGCAGAGAAGCCCCAATATAAGGGGTGGCACAAGGCAGCGCAGCAGCCAGTGCGCAGATGAAGCAGCGCAGCCCCGGCTCCCCGGCAGGACTCGCCCTCTCCTCCCCAGGTAGTGGCTGGGCCCTGGCAGCTCAACATCCCAGGGCTGGGGCTTCCCCTTCCCGCTGCGGCCGGGGGCATGGCGCCCTCGCCCCGTCTAAGTGACTTGCTGGACGGTCCTGCTGGCCAGATGTGGCCCGGGGGCCATAATTTGCCCACCTCTGCTTTAGGGCACACTTCGATCACATTTTCAAGCTTTTCTCTGCAATTATGAGGTTTGTAAATTTACTTTTTTTTTTGTAGTTGAAAACCGAGATTGTCACATAGTCACTTGTTTCTAGTAGTTGGTGCTTAAAGAAAAACACCAGGGATTGTGAGACTCATGATAAAATAGCGAGAGTTGGCAACAGTGTATTAGTGGTCATTCTGAAATACTCACATTGGTCACTTGGGTTCACAATTCCCAGTGGCTGGGGAATTGTTGCCTGAGGTCCAAAGGTCATGGCATGAGCAAGGGAGCAGAAAGGATGAGAATATCTATGCTATTTTTTTTCTCTACTGCCTCTTACGTATAAATTAATCTGTTAGGATGGATAAAAGCAAAACTTCAAGGTTTGATATCTTGGTTGGTTCATATCATGTTAGGTTGAAACCCAGACAAAGTGAGATGTTGAAAACCAGTTAGTAGGTTTGAATTTCTTTTTATAATGGGAAGTTCTACTCAGCCTTCACTATTTCATGTTTTAGAGTAACAATGATGTCACTCTTGTTTTTATCTTTTTTCCCTCCCTATAGGCCATGTGTTTATACAATGGGGTCTCCAATAAACAACAGAGCCCTTTTTCCATGTCAGGAGCCACCGGTTGCCATGTCAACATGGCAAACCACAGTCCGAACAGCTTCTTCCTTTGTTGTCTTAATGAGTGGTGAAAATTCAGCAGAACCAGCACAACTTCAAGAAGGTGTAGTATATATATTCTTAATTATGTGTTGTACAAAATGATGCTAGCAAAGTGCCAGAAAGTAGTTTACAAAGATGGGTACACATTATTATCTCCATTTTATAGAGAGGGAAATTAAGGTACAGGGAGGCCAAGTGACCTGCCCAAAGTCATACAGCTGGTGGGAGTACTTCGGTGTTCTAACTTCCCATCTGGTACCTCATCCACTGGAATATACTGGCATCTGTTTTTTTCGGGTGTAAACTTCACACAGCTCACTAATTGGCTTAGTTTCAATCAATCTACAGCTAAATATTTGGCAGATCAGCCCACAGACTGCTGAAGGCACTGATAACAGGATATAGATTTTTGGTTTGAGGTTGCCAGTTCAGTTTAGCAAGGCTGGTAGTGACTGAGGGTTGTTACCCATATCATAGCTGATTGGTGAACAATGTGAAATGAGTTGATGATCTCAGTTTGGTGCCAACTGTCCATAAAAGATCTTCTTTATTTCCACTTCTTTTGGGACCAGTGCATGGCTCCTAGTGCTCACTACTGCCTTCCTGTTTAGAGTTATGCAAGGTATATCTCAGTGCTGTCTTCCCTTTGTTTTTTGCTGCACTTCTTCATCACAGCCTCCATGCACAGGGTAAAGGGAAAAGCAAATGTAAGGTGGTGCCAAGCATGACTGCACAGAGGTAATTTCCCGGGGTTAGTTCTGAGCTGTCTTTGCATACTCCTAAGGTCAGTATTTGCGTGATTAAAAAATTAATTGGGATTAATCATGCTGTTAAACAATAATAGAATATCATTTATTTAAATATTTTTGGGTGTTTTCTAGATTTCTAAATATATTGATTTCAGTTACAACACAGAATACAAAGTGTACAGTGCTCGCTTTATATTTATTTTTTATTACAAATATTTGCACTGTAAAAACCAGAAGAAATCATATTTTTCAATTCACCTAATACAAGTACCGTAGTGCAATCTCTTTATCATGAAAGTTGAACTTACAAATGTAGAATTAGGTAAAAAAAATAACTGCATTAAAAATAAAAATGTAAAACTTTAGAGCCTACAAGTCCACTCAGTTCTACTTCAGCCAATTGGTCAGACAAACAATTTTGGTTACAATTTTCAGGAGATAATGCTGCCCGCTTCTTGTTTACAGTGTCACCTGAAAGTGAGAACAGAAGTTCGCATGGTACTGTTGTAGCTGGCATTGCAAGATATTTATGTGCCAGATGCGCTAAAGATTCATATGTCCCCTCATTCTTCAGCCACCATTCCAGAGGACAAGTGAGCATGCTGATGATGGGTTCTGCTTGGTAACGATCCAAAGCAGAGCAGACTGATGTATGTTCATTTTCATCATCTGAGTCAGATGCCACCAACAGAAGGTTGATTTTCTTTTTTGGTGGTTCGGGTTCTGTAGTTTCTGCATCTGAATGTTGCTCTTTTAAGACTTCTGAAAGCATGCTCCACGCCTCATCCCTCTCAGATTTTGGATGGCACTTCAGATTCTTAAACCTTGGGTCAAGTGCTATTGCTATTTTTAGAAGTCTCACATTGGTACCTTCTTTGCATTTTGTCAAATCTACTGTGAAAGTGTTCTTAAAACGAACATGTGCTAAATCATCATCCGAGCCTGCTATAACATGAAATATATGGAAGAATACAAGTAAAACAGAACTGGAGACATACAATTCTCCTCCAAGGAGTTCAGTCACAAATTTAATTACCGCATTATTTTTTTAAGGAGCATCATCAGCATGGAAGCATGTTGTCTGGAATGGTGGCCGAAGCATGAAGGGGCATACAAGTGTTTGGCACATCTGGCACGTAAATACCTTGCAACGCTGGCTGCAAAAGTCCCATGCAAATGCCTTTCTCACTTTCAGGTGATGTTGTAAATAAGAAGCAGGCAGCAGTATCTGTTTAAATATAAAAAAACTTTTGTCTTAGCGATTGGCTGAACAAGAAGTAGGACTGTGTGGACTTGTAGGCTCTAAAGTTTTGTGTTTTGTTTTGAGTGCAGTTATGTAACAAAAAAATCTACATTTGTAAGTTACACTTTCACAATAAAGAGATTGCACTACAGTGCAAGTGTATGAAGTGAATTTAAAAATACTATTTATTTTGTTTATCATTTTTACAGTGCAAATATTTATAACAGAAATAATATAAAGTGAGCAGTGTACACTTTGTATTCTGTGTTATAATTGAAATCAAATATATTTGAAAATGTAGAAAAACATCCAAAAATATTTAATACATTTCAACTGGCATTCTATTGTTTAACAGTGCGATTAAAACTGTGATTAATTGCAGTTAACTCATGCGACTAAAAAATAATTAATCGACAGCCCTCGTAAATACCACTTATAGGACTGAAGAAGCATTTTGATTTGCATATAGACAATCTAAAATCTTTAATAGCCATTCAATTTAGCTGGATATACTTTTTTTTTAAAAAAAATGTTTAAGTTTAAATGAATAACAGACAACAAGAAAAGCAACCAGACATAATAAAGCAACATTTTTTAAAGGAAGACCTGTGCTCTCAGGTGCATACCTACATTTGTATACGTGCAATTTTCATGGTTACATACAGAGACTAGCTGATTGTGTATGCAAATGGATAGTTTCCTGAATAGCAGTTCTGGTAAATGGATATGCAAAAGTGTGCACCCAGTTGAACACACATTTTTTGCAGGCCTCCTTTTTGAAAAATATGGCCCATACTATTATCATTTAGAAATACAGATGGGACAGATCAGTTTCTCAAAAACCAATAATCATAAATCTCCCAAAATGTTGCACATTTAGGCATACATACATACTGAGGCATTTTAATAAGGTGTGAAAGTATTTTTGAAAATGGTAGTACATACTTTATGAAATGTTTGGAATGGGAAAAGTTTTTCACAGAGTTGATAAATTCCAGGTACATTCAAAGTGTTCTGTAAGCCTTATGATCTCTAGGTTTTTTTCAGGGGTGTTTGAGATAGTAAGTGTCCAAGTCATTTAGCCTTGGATGGTGGGTAGGTTTGTTATTCAACACTTAGCTGCTAACACTGGTTTCTTCCATCCCACATGCCTGCAGCACACAAACTTCTTTAATCAAAAAACACCTTTAGATCCATTTTGATTTATTTTTGAGCATCTGTATCTTGAGCACATTAGGGCTGCTATGATCCAGGGTTCTATACATAGCTCGGTATTTTTTTCCCTTTAAAGTAGTAAGATTTCCACACTCCCCTTTCATTCACTTAAATCCATGTAGAAATAATTTAATTCAAGATTAGTGTTACTACTGAGAACAAATGTGACCATGGAGAAACACCTACTTTCCCTTTCATAGCTTGCAACCACAGCAGCTTGTTCTGCATTCAAGTCAGATTTCACAAGCTAAGCAGGTTAGGTCAGTTCAGTAGTTGAGTCGGAGATCTCCAACATGCATCTGATACAAGTGCTGCAGCAAGTGCTCTTGCTGATTCATCAGAGTATCTGCAAAAAGAAAAGGAGTACTTGTGGCACCTACAGCTCAGCTGTAGCTCACGAAAGCTCATGCTCAAATAAATTGGTTAGTCTCTAAGGTGCCACAAGTACTCCTTTTCTTTTTGCGAATACAGACTAACACGGCTGCTACTCTGAAACCTATCAGAGTATCTGAGTATTGAACTAATACTGCAGCACTCAGGTGCTAGGGGGCACTCTGCTACTCTGTCTTCCAAATGAGATGTGAAATCAAGGTGCTGATCACTAGAAGTCACTAAAGATGTCTTGGAACTTTTCTGATGGGCAAGGCTCTTAATCCCAATTTCCCAGACAAATAATAATTTGGGTAATTACATTTTGTTTTGCTACGCTATTTTTCACTTTCTTTCTGAAAGTGTTGTGTAATGGTTTTATGCATTACTAAACATAATAGTGTTTCCCATCGGAAGTGGCTGAATTTCAGTGGTGGATGAAGTAACCCTGTGTATGTGTGTGTGTGTAATATGTACATCAGTTTGTATTTAAAACACTAAAGAATTATTTGTGGTGAAAGGTGCTATATAAATATAAGAAAATATTCCTTTTTATTAGGTCAGACGGTAAGATACACTGACACTCATATTTATTTTAGTTATAATGCACGAATTGGTACTCAAAACTGTTTTTATAACCATTTCAAAGACCGTTAATATGCATGAAGAAACAAAGTCATTATCTCATAGTTATTATTTGAAATACAAAAAATAAATTGCTTTTTAAAATTTTCTTTTCCCACACTTATAAATAGATTGCACTTTTCCAGCCTTTTTTAACTGAGTCCTAAATAGATAACACGTAAGTTAGAAAATATGCAGTTTTATTTAATAGGATTTTTGTTTTCGCAATTATGCAGCTATCAGGCATGATACAGTAAATACTTGTCTTACAGTTGTGAAGCAAATGTCCAATTGGGAAATGGATCTTCAAAAATAACCTACTGGAAAATTGTTTAAAAGTATCATGGTTTTACAATCTGTTTGTACATATAGGAAATAAGTAATTTTAAAGCACAGCTGATTTTAGGGATTCATAGATTCATAGATATTAAGTCAGAATGGACCATTATGATCATCTAGTCCGACCCCCTGCACAACGCAGGCCACAGAATCTCACCTACCTACTCCTGCGAAAAAACCTCTCACCTATGGGATGGGATAACGTGTATGGGTGATTAGGAATGAGAAATTATGGGGCAGGTGCTCTTCCTCCATTTTCTGCAGGAAACGCCAGCTATTTTCCTTGTCTTGCCAGTGAGCCCTCACATAGCACAGAAATGTTTCAGTGACGTGGAGTGTTACTTGCACTACAAGGAGGAAGCCCTGTGCTGAGTTCATATGCATTGCTTTCCCTTTCCCTATAGGTGGTGCTGTTTCCAAGAGAGTTACATGAAGGCATTGGAGTGAGAGAGAGAGGAGAGCCACAAAAGGAATCAGTAGAAGGGGAAACACTGAAGATAAGGGAGGAGAGGAAAGATAAGGGAGAAGAAGAAAGCAAGCGCAGGGGAAAGAGGGGAGACAGAGGAATTAGGAGGGACAAAAAGAAAAAAAATTAGAACAGGTGACAGACATTTAAAAAAAAGGAAGAAAATGAGAAAGTAAGAGTGAAGGGAGGAAGAAGAAAACCTGAGAAACAAATTATCTCTCCTACCAGTAACAGCTGTTCATGTTGGTTACTGGCAGGAAGCGCTACCTGCATAAAGGCCAGTTCAGTCACCAGGAAACGTCAGGAACCACGATGGTGAAACCTCATTCACCTCACAGTATGCTCTGAGACTTCTTGTCAATTCAGTCCATTCTGGGCTACAAGTACATGAGACCCCTGTCAGCCTTGTGAGCAGTGGACTGGGGTTCAGCAGCACCTATAAGCATAATAGGAGCCTCAAGGTGGAGTGATGGGGATGTCCAGCGTAGGCATGGTTTCTACAGAACCTGCACAAAGAAAGGGCATGTGGGATAAGGGAGAAGAAGGTGCTGAATTTTGTAAATATGAATCTATAGGTGTTTGAAAGCTTATGTGAAGAGAGAAAAAGTTTATTTTTGCCCTTCAGTCCCAATTTGGTGCTTGTTTTGAAGGCCCCCTGCCCTCTTTCAGGACTTGCTGCTGATCTTCTAGCTTTGTGAAGTTTGTTGGCCCTCAGACTGTGTGATCCACTCAGGGCGGAATGCTTTGCCCCCCTCTTGATGTGGAGGGTGGTAAAATAAAACTACAAAAGTCAAAGCTCTCGACACTCCAGCATATGCAGAATACTGCTGCCCATCTCCTCTCACCTAAGAAGCAACATAAACATATCACCACCACGTTAGATTGCTAAGCTGTCTTCCCTTTCATTTCAGCATTCTGTTTAAATTGCCTTCGTCTTTTAAAAACACTTCACAGTCTTGCTTACTCGAGTCTGCCTCACTGAATTTGTTTCTTACTATGCTCCTCTTCCTCACTCTGTTTTGTCCATCACTGGCCTTCTCTCTTTCCTGTTAGGAAATCTCCTCACTGTTGTGAGAGCCTTATTCTTTATAGGAGAAGGAGCCTTCACCTGCTGCCGTCTGGAACAGTTTTCTGTCTCCCTGCCTCATTGACTCTCAGTCTTGTTTCAAAACTCAGCTGAAAATACATCATTTTCTTCCATTCCTGTCTTTCTTCCTTTTCTATTGTTTGACCTGGAAGTTGCACTCTTTATGTGAACTGTATGGAGCATTTTGGAATATTGTTTATGTTACAGATGCTACTCACAGTGACGTATTGTGTTACGCTGCCTCCAGGTCTGCTCTTGTTCCCGTTGAAGTCCATGGCAAAAGCTCCTGTTGGATTCATTGTGGGCAGGCTTGGCCACAGTTTACATTACTGGAGCTCTCAACATCAACCTTTTGAAATAATAAAATAAATGGTACTTCCCTGGATGGCCTCTTCCCATACATGGGCTTGTGCCTGCCATGGCTGGTTTTCAGCTTCCACAGGCTGGGATTTCAAAACATTTTTCCTTTGGCAGTAATAATTTATTTCCTCTTTGTTTCTAATTATGTAGTTGTGAACATGGCAGTCTCTGTTCACATATCAATGTTATCTGTGAGGTCAGCAAAGCTCTGGGAATCTTATATGTTTAACTTGTGATTCAGAGCCAACAAGAGCAGCTCATGTATTTTTCTGTGGTGGGGATCCCTAATCTGGCATTTTGAGTGTGCATATATTTAGGGTCAAATCCTGTCTTTTCCTCTGTGGAGGCTCCATTTGCAGTGGGACTGGTGGAGTTCTACTGCACAAGCAGGTGGGGGCAAAATTCCCAGCGGTCACGCAGGGAAGTGCTCATCTGACTTGTGACACGATGCCCAGTGGTGGCCTTGCAGCACCATGCAGGGCCCAGAGATACACTACAGAACACCATTTCATCCCCCACCACCCCTGTACAGACATGGGGTTGGGATATTATTATTCATATTTATTAAGGCAGTGTCTCTGGGCCAAGTGAGAATGGGACCCCATTGTGCTAGGCACTGTGCAGACACAGAGTAGTAGACGGTCCCTGTCCTGAAGTGCTTACAGTCTAAATAAACAAGACAGGGTGAAGGAAGGGGCAGGATCCACAAACAGAGTGAAAATGTGATGGTGGCAAATGTCACATTAGTTCCATGTTATTTATTTATTTAGGTGGGTTTACTTAGAAGGGGATAAGGGGATGGAAAGAAAAGGAAAGGTCAGGGAGAAGAGGCTAAGAGGGGTAGGTGTGGAGTGAAGCTGAGGTGAAGAGACTGTGGGGGAGGGGGAGGGCTAGAATAAACAGTCAGTCAGCACAGGCCAGAGAAAGTCCAGACAAAGGTAGAAAGTTCTCTGAAAATTCAGTGATCCCTGCTTTGGCTGCTTATGTTCTTACAAATGGAGTCTCTGCAATTCCCCTCTCCCGCTTCCCCAGGCCACAAGGGAGAGGGCACCACTCCTAGTGCTCCCAGAGTGTGTGTGTGTAGGTTTCCCATGCACAGTTTGGGGTCCAGGAGGGTGCTGTGGAGAGGGGTGGCCCTGGCTGGCCCCACTCCTCGTCGTCCATTCCTTCCCGCCACCCACCCCCGATTTGGCTGCTAGTGCTTCTGTTTCTACTGTCTGGAGTCTCTCTATGCCTTGAGGGGGAGATTTGCCTCTTGTATTTGCTAGTACCTGGCCTGGCTACTAGGACCAGGCAGTGGCAGATTATTTCTCCTTAGATTTTTCTTTAAAAAAATGGTAGGGCTCCATAATTGTAACCCAAAGACTATTTAAAAAAAAAAAAAGGCTTGAGGTTGGCCTGCAGTTGCATGCCTATGTTAGCATTCAAAATTACCATGACTGCTTTACTCACAAATCAGATACACATGCAGGTATCTAATTAGACTGCTGCATATGAAATCACCCAATTTGTGTATGCAGCTGTGGTAACTGTATTTATAAATGTAGTTGAGTCCTTGCATGTGTGCCTAAGGTGCCTTTAACAATAACAGAAAAATAGCCAGGCAAAAGAAAAAAAAAAGACCCTGTATGTAGGTTAGATCCATAAAAACTTCATGGCTCCCCAAAACAACTTTCTCCCACTTCTCTAAATGGACTCTGCTTAATTGTCCCTCTATACTAAGCTGATCTTCCTCTGGTAAACTCACTTCCTTTTTCCGTCTCCTCAGCTCCCAGATGGTCCCATAGGGCCAAATTCAGCACTCACGCCAAAACTGAATCTGATTCTTGACTTCTCATTGACATGCTGATGCATTGGACCATTTCAGATTGCCAGGCAGGGATCATAAGTGTTACTGTTTTTTATTAGACTTTAACAGTGTGCTCTGGGCTGTGCAGAACATACTGAAAACATGGTCCTTCCCCTAAGGAGTTTGCAATCTGAAGTAAACAAACTATACTGTTAAGACAAAAACAGCATTATGCAAGGCTATTGTTAAAGGACTGCAATCAATTTTTTTTTACGTTAAAAAATGTCCTTTCTTAGAGGACCTAAGGATCCTGTTTGACTCCACTCATGATGGTAAGATTCAGTGTGTTGGACCATTGGTGTAGAATGTTTTCATGAGATTTACAGTCATACTGTTACAATGCTGGATTTAATTTTTGGTAGGTGCCTAGAATCTGAGGATAGCAGTGTGAATGTAAGTTTTTAGGTCTATACTATTTGCTAAAGTCCCTTTCAATCTCCAAGGTAAGTAAGATATAACTATCATGTAGTAAACAGTGTGCCTGAATAAAAACAAGTTCATTCCTTCTTGAACAAAAAAAAAATCAGTGAGGAGGTGGGAGGAGAGGTTTGGCTCAAAATCTCAACTGCATTGAAATTCAAATTCTGGGAAATTGTTCTCTAACCTAGAAGGTAATTTGCTTTTTTTACTCATAGGTCTCTTAAGTTGGTACTATTATGTGACCATGCCAATGCCAGCATCCACCTTTACTATTGCTGTTGGGTGTTGGACAGAAGTTAAACAGGAATCCCACACAGCTGACGTCCAGATAAATAATGAGTTTTCCTCTCTGTTTTCAAGGGCCGATCTCAGGTTGGTGATTAGGATATTACTAAAAAATAAACATTTGAGTGAACATTCCATTTATTCTGTGAACCGTGAAAGTGAATCGTCTTAGCAGAGGGACCACAGCAGAACATGTCTAATCAGAGTAGAAAGAAATCGTAGGCAAGTAAGTCGAGGGCAAAGGATGGGCCAAGGGGGTGTTGCTTATGTAGAAAAAATTAGGTTAATGGAATATGACAATTAGTTTCTACATGTGTTCAGCCTAGTTAACAGAATATTTAAGCTCTGCACATTATCTCCTCTTCTATAACCGTCTGCTTTGCAAAATCCGGACATCCTTTCTGTTTTCATTCAGTTAAGAACTGAATAAAAAGTTTCTTGCCTGTTAGATTGCTTTGTAGGTTACTCAAGCTGTTTTGGTTCCAGTTACTTCTGTTTCCATACAGATTGTGAATATGTCACTGCTTAAATATAGTAATCAGACTCTGCATATTGAGGATAAAATGGTGATTTCTTAAGGGGCTCTTAGGTTAAGCATTTCTGCTGGCTCAGTGCTCTCTTAATTCTAGCAGCACTTCCTCGTGAAACTTTAGAGATGGAGCTTTTCTCTTTTTTTTTTTCTTCTTCCCAAAAGTGAGATATGAAAAATGCAGTTTGAAACTTTGAAATTTTATGCATTTAGATAAGTTTTAGGAATCATTGCATGTTTACCTATTGTGACAGGGTCAGGCCAGATGGCTATAGGAGAGTAATTTTATTAATTCCTGATTCTTTACGAGGTTTTTATTAAATATTGTGAAAGAGAGAAAAATTACACACATTACATAAATCAATACAAATATTACATGTTTATCCAATGTGACAGGGTCGGGTTAGACAGCTATAGGAGAGTAATTTTTTTTTTAAGCAAAAGTGTTTTTTTATTTGCATAACACAAGTACAAAACAAAACAACAGCATATGCAATGTGTAACACAGCAACCAATCACAATTGTTTTCTCATTAGCTTCAGGGGAGGGAAGTGTTCAAGCTTGCCTGGGCCCAGAGCGGGGGGCTTCCTCGACTCTCATGGTCTTCCACCCTTCTGAGTTACTTAGTGGTCCAGACCGAGGGGACTTCATCGACTCTCAAGGTCTGCCACCCCCTCGAGTTACCTGGCGCCATGCACGAGTGTCACCAACAATTCCCTCCTCTGAAAGCACCCAACAAAAGGGGCACGCTGTGGGGTGTACAACCCGCGGGGGGGCCAAATGCACCCTCATGTGAAAGGACCCCTCTAAGGTGGTGGTGTCCGCAGGAGCAATGGCTGGGGCTGGGGTCCCTTACTCTCTCCCCCAATCAAAGGGTCAAAACAAAGGGAGCCGGATGGGGACACCTAGCAGAGAGCCTCGGACAGAGCCCACCGCTCCTCAAAAGCATCAAGGGAGTCAGTGGATGCCGCCCAGAGGAACTCCGCCTGGATACGTGAACGGACTGAGGATCGGAAAACGGCCCCACAGTCACAGGAAACTCCATCGGCCAACCTCCTCTCTCTGGTTTTATAGATGGCCGTTTTAGCCAGGGCCAGGAGGAGGTTAACTAGGAGATCCCACGACTTTGTGAGGCCACGGATGGGGAGTGCATAAATAAAAAGACGAGGGGAAAAATGCAGCCAAAAACATAATAAAAGATTTGTGAGGAGCCAGAACAGGGGCTGCAGCCTGGTGCACTCCAAATATATGTGCACCAGGGTTTCCCTCACACCGCAAAATGGACAAGTATCTGGGATGGGGTTGAACCACGCCAAGTACGTGCCCGTGGTCACAGCTCCGTGAAGGAGCTGCCAACTGATATCCCTGATGGGCCTTGGAACCAAGGTGGAATATAGGCTGGCCCATCGGGGCTGCTCACCCTCCAAAGGTGGCAGAAGGTCTCACCACTTTATGTCGGGGTAGGACACTAGGGTGAGGGCGTGAAGGGTGTGGAGCACGAGCATGTAATGATGTTTCCTTGGTGAGGTTTGGAAGCATACTGGCTGCAGTTCATGCAGCCGGCTCGCCGTAAAGGGGTGAGGGAGTCGATTGGATCTGCAGGGCAGGGTTCCAATTAAAAGGTCTGGCGGGCCTGGGATAGAGGGTGGGCAGGGCGTGCCCGCAAGCAGGACCCGGTCGAGGTAAGCTCGAGCAGCGGGCGGCAAAGCAGCCTTCACCTCCTGAAGTATGCGCCGGGGGAGTACGAGGTCTGGAGAGCCCCATGCACCGAGCTCAGGGGATCCAGCCAGGGGATCCAACCAATCTCCCCAGTCGTAGTTCAGGAGGTCTCCAACTCTCATGACTTCTGCCAGGATCAGGCTCTGGCACACCGAGCGGGACTCTGCCACGTGCACATGGAACTGGGGGTTGTGTAGCAGGGGCTCCGCGAGGAGATCTGCCCCCTCAGTGGCCGCCACGGACCTGGTCATTAAAAACCTTTTCCAAGTCCGGAGGAGGTCCTGATAGAAGACCGGCAGCCTGGAGAGGTCTCGCAGAAGATCTCCTGAACAGAGATAAAACAGCTGCCGGTCATATTGGAGTCCTCGGATGCGGCGCAGGATGGCGTGCGCCAGTATGCTCCACGCTGAACTGCCTGCACTATAAAGGAGCCTCTGTAGGGCCTGGAGGCGGAAGACGCAGACCTAAGTGTGCAGACACTTCAGTCCCTGTCCTTCTTCCTTCAGGGGTAGATGAAGAACCCCTACAGGGGCCCAGTGCATTCCTGACCAAAAGAACCCCAGAATCGATGTCTGGAGGTTGGTCAGGAAACCCGGGGCGGGGACCAGGGTGTTGAGCCGGTACCAGAGCTTGGACAGGACTAGTTGATTAAGCATCAGCGCTGTCCCATGAAGGGAGAGACATAGGAGTAGTCCCGTCCATTTCCGGAGCCGCTCTATCACCCTGCCCTCTACATTTTCCCAGTTCTCCGGCGGAGAGGGAAGCGTGGCAGAAAGGTAAACGCCCAGGTAGAGCAGCAGACCCGCGCTCCACCGGATGGTCTGAAGCGCGGGTGGGAGGGAAGCTTTCCTACCGCCAAGCCAGAGCTCTTGACCCAGTTGACCCGGGCAGAGGAGGCTGCCAAATAGATGGCTTGGCAAGCCTCCACCCGTGCCAAGTCGCCGGGGTCCTGGACCACGAGGAGCACGTCATCAGCGTACGCCAACAGGACCAGCCGGCTCCCACAGCACCAACCCTGTCAACCTCCTGCAGAGGAGGCAGAGGAAGGGCTCGATCGCCAGAGCGTACAGCTGGCCCGAGAGGGGGCACCCCTGCCGTACTCCTCGCCCAAAGCTGACCGGTTCGGTCAGGGTCCAGTTGAGCTTAACCAGACACTCTGTGGAGGCATACAGCACCCGGAGAAAACCCACAAACTGGGGTCCGAAGCCAAACGCTCGCAGAGTGTTCAGGAGGTACCCGTGGTCCACCCTATTGAACGCCTTCTCCTGATCTAGGGACAGGAGGGCAAACGACAGACCATCTCTACGCCTGAGTTCCAAAAGGTCCCGAACCAGAAATAGGTTATCAAAGATACTGCGGTCCGGGACGGTGTAGGTCTGGTCTGGGTGGATCACATCTGCCAGCACAGACCCTAGCCGCAGCGAGATTGCTTTCGCTACAATTTTGTGGTCCGTGCTGAGGAGCGAGACAGGATGCCAATTTCGTAAATCGCGGAGGTCCCCCTTCTTCGGCAGTAAGGCGAGCACAGCTCGCATGCACGAAAGAGGGAGGACCTCGCTCTGCAGAGACTCGGCCCAGACGGTGACTAGGTCTGGGCCGAGGATGTCCCAAAACACGCGGTAGAACTCCATGGTCAGCCCGTTCATGCCTGAAGACTTATTAGTGGGCATACGACGGAGGGCTTCCGAGAACTCGGCCAGAGACAGAGGCAACTCTAGTCGGTTTTGGTCGCTCACGCTGACCGTAGGGAGCTCCTCCCAGAGCACTCTGCAAGCACCAGGGTCGGTCGGATCCAGGGAGAAAAGACTTGCGTAGAAGGCTCGGGCCCTCCCGCATGTCTCCGCCAGTTCCGTGAGGGAGTGCCGTCTTCTGCCAGGAGGCAGGTGACGTGTTTCTTGGCCCCCCTCATTTTCTCCAGGGCATAGAAGAAGCGGGAGCCACGATCCATCTCCCGAAGGAGGCGGATGCGGGATTGAACAAAGGCACCCGGGCCCGATGGTCCTCAAGGGCCCGGAGCTCCTCCTGCTTCTCCCGGCACACTCCGCAGAGGAGCGGGTCCTCGGCGCTGGCGGCCAGACGCCTCCAGCTCTAAGACCTCCCGTTCCAACTGCTCTATCGTCGCATTTCTCCGTCGGCTGGTGCCCCGGGTGTAGTCGAGGCAGAAAAGCCTGGCGCGCACCTTCCCCGGGTCCCACCATCGCCGCGCCTAGGGAAAGACACCCCGCTGCCCTCACCAGGCCAGCCAGAATTCCCGGAAGGACGTCACGAAGCCCTCATCCTCCAACAGGCTGTTGGTAAAATGCCAGTAGGCCAGCCCCGGCCTCTCCGCACAGAGGGAGGCTGTCATGGTGGCTAGGTGATGGTCAGAAAATGGGGCCAGCCGAATGCTGGAGTGGGCTCGTGAGAGATGGAAGCGTGATAAATAAATGCAGTCCAACCGGGAGTGGCTCGACCGATGGGTTTCCACCTGGACAAAGGTGAACGTGGAAGTGTCATCCGGGTGGTGGTCACGCCAGATGTTTACTAGGGAGTGACGTTCAACTATCTCCCGGAGGGTGTCCACGGCGGCCGGGCTCTGCTCGGTCCCTGAGCGGTCTCGCTCCTCGAGGGTAGTATTAAAATTCCCTCCCAGGACCAGGCACTCGTGAGAATCTCAGGTGCCGAGGGAGGTGGACGCCTGCTGATAGAATTGCAGCCGCTCCGGGCCCGATGTCGGGGCATAGACATTAACGAGGTTAACCACGAGCCCCTCTATACGGACCCGGAGGTGCAGCAGGCGACCCAGCACGGCCTCGGCGACCCCTAGCACCTCGGGCCGTAGGTCAGGGGAGAACAGGGT